TTTTTTTTTTTTTTTTGAGATGGAGTTTTGCTCTATCACCAGGGCTGAAGTGCAGTGGCATGATCTTGGCTCGCTGCAACCTCCAGCTCCTGGGTTCAAGTGATTCTCTTGCCTCAGCCTCCCGAGTAGCTGGGATTACAGGCACCCACCACCACACCTAGCTAATTTTTGTATTTTTAGTAGAGACAGGGTTTCACTATGTTGGCCAGACTGGTCTCAAACTCCTGATCTCAAGTGATCCCCCTGCTTCAGCCTCCCAAAGTTCTGGGATTACAGGTGTGAGCCACCACGCCCAACAGCATTTGAGATTTTTATGTAGAAAAGCAGATCTTGAAATTACTGACTTTGATGCTTGGTATAAGAGTGTGGCTATCATTGAGAGCCTCATCCTCTTCTTTGCTTATACTATGTGAAACTTTTCTGCTAAAAGTTCAGGCACCCTAAACATCTACGCATTTCCACTAGGTCTAGTTCCCTTAACTCATGATTCCCTGGTAAACAGGGCATTTCTTCAAGGAGTAAGGATTTTGCTGAGCTTCAGCTGCTGCTCAAGATCACATTTAAATGACCTCTGACAAGCAAAGTCTTACCTGCTTAGAGACAAGAGTCCTGACCTCAACTGGGGTCTATAGATTTGGATTCAGAGCTACTGTTGGGTGCTGAATTTATTCCCTGGGGGAAATAAATTAGCCCGGGTTGTACATGCAAGGCAGGGCCAAACTCGATTCACGTAGTTGATTAGAAGTTATTTTACCTTGGAAACCACTGTGTCTCGGCTAGATCAGTTTAACTTAGTTGTTCTCCAGAGGAGACATGATTCCTCATTTCTCTTTTTCCTTTTTTCGTCAACGGCCAGACATCCATGAGTTCTTGTAGCCCTAGACGTCAGTTAGCTATCATTAAATATAATTTGGAGCTTTAACAATGCTGTCAATACACCGTGGGATTTTGTCATCATTTTACTATTGGTTAAAATCTCTTTCACTTATGGAGACTTTACCCCCTTTCATCTTTGTGGTTGCCAGACTTGTAATTTGTTTTTCTGTTTAATAGAAACCTTAGAATCATTGGTATAAAGTGAAGTATGCTATGAAAAACACATGTTTTTTTTTTAAATAGTTCTTTTCGTCTTTAAAGAGAAAATACTGTGTTTTCACCCATTCCAATACCAGTAAATGCATATTTTATAGCATCTCCTTTAAACTCTTCAACATGATAAAAAATTTGGTATACCACAGTCAACTTTCTGAAACTACTTTTATATGCCTCTTCATTTTCCTTTACATACAATAGCTGTTGGATATGAAATTTCTGTAGCAGCAAAGAGGACTCTGAAAAATGTCAAATGCTAACAAAAAGTCTTAAATTTCCATAGATAGAAATGTGGAAGGATCAACATGTGTTAACTTTTTTGAAATGTATATTTCTTGCCTTGCCTTTCCTTGAACTCCGAAAGGCCCTTTTGGTAAAAGTGGATAAAAAAGGGCCTCTGGATGGATCTTTCTAATTAGAAAGAAAATTCAAATTCAGAACTGTAATTAAACATGACTTAAATACAGCACTTTTCAGTCTAATCCAGAGAAATATAGTTTCAAAATTTCTAATTTTAAGTTTTTCAGGGCCCTAAAAATAGAAATACGTTGTCATTTACATAATGATTTGGAAATTGTACATTTCATGTGGGAAACAAAGGTTTTGTTTTAAAGGCAGAAGAGCATACATAAAGCTCGTTACTCAGCTACAGGTCAGCACATGCTTTTCATATGCACACACCTGTGTAGCTGCCCCTCCGATCGAGACAGAGCACACTTTCAGCACCCAGCAGGCTCCCTTCTCAGCGCGTCTCAGCCAATACCACTCCACCTCCGGCCCCTGTTCCATAGATTTCATTTTCCCTGTTCTTGCCTTTCACAGATGTAGAAACATTCCCAGCATGCTTTAGTGGCTTCTTTCAGTCCACACGATGTTTGCAGGATAATTTGTCCATGATGTGTGTGGCAACAGTTTATCCTTTTTTTCCTCATGGCCTTCCTCAAGATGGGCTTTGGCATCTCCTCCTGAGACATGAAGGGAGCAGTACGTGTAAGGAGTGATAACAAACAGAAGTGAGCTTCGCTTTATTTTTAGCTGAGCAAATGCCCAGTAAGGCCTCATACCACACTCCCCACTCCAAAGCAGAACCCTGAGAAGGCTGCGCTGGAGCACGCGTTGGATCAGGCTTCCAGCTCAACCTCTGTCCTTCCGATGTTATGGTCACCTGGCCAGCTACCTGGCACAATGACTGGAATGGTTGGGCAAAGGAGAGTGATGCCAGGGCATGTCCTGATGAGGAGGAGCCTGAGCCGGTTTACCTCTCTGCCTTAAATGGAAATGAAAACATAGTGAACTGTGGCCATGTGTGACATTTTAAAATCCAACGATCCCTTCCCAGAACAAATGTGTCCTGGCCAGTGCTCACATTTGAAAGCCATCTTGGTACTTCCTCTTGGGGACGATTGAGAAAGAGGGCAGATAATGAGATGGAAGTCAGGGGAAAGGGGGCTGGGAGTCCTTCCTAGCTTGTAGAATCCTATTATTACTCACATGTATTTTTTTAAACGGTCAGCATCTATTTGACTCTTGACTATAGAACAAAGTCTACCTCTTCTTCCTTCACAGAATCCTGGGTCATGGGCTACAGTGGAGGAACCAAGGGGAGGGGCCCAGCTGAGTCCCAGCTCTGACACCGATGGGCGGAAGGGGTGGCTTGGGTCAGCTTGCATAACGTCTCTTCTTCCTCATCTGTAAAATGTGGAAGTTTGACTGGTGGGCCTCTCAGCCCCATGGAGAAATTTGAAAGGTGACAAATTACAGACTACACGTTTGACACCTCCCGGCTCTCCCCACCCTTTTATGAATAAGCATCTGTAAGACAGGCTGTCTAATTCTTCTGGAGATTCCTGAATAGCCTGCCTTTGTCCAGGTTGGCTGATGCTAAATGCCAGTTCTGACCAATGGTGCAGGTATTAATTTCGCACTGAGGATCTCGTTTCAATGTACTCAGACTAGGTGATGTGGAGATGGAACATTCCGAAAGAAGAGCTGAGAGAAAGTGGCAGGTATAAGCCCCCTAACATCTCTATGTTTCTTGGAGAGACTCAGACTGCTTCCCTAGGCTTTTCAGAGTCCTCACCCATCGTGTGTGTGTGCGTGTGTGTGTGTGTGTAGGGAGTGTGCTATGGGCAGCCTTTCTATGTCTGCACCGTGAACAGATGGGCTCAGCATTTCTAGGGTCACGTATGGCTTCCTAGTGACATGTTTTTCTTGCCGTGTTTTGCCTCTTCCCGGTTACATCCTATATTAGCTTCCTACTGTTACTGTCGAAAATTATCACAAACTTAGTGTCTTAGAACAACACAAGTTTATGCTCCCACAGTTCCGGAAGTCAGAAGTCTGAAGTGGCTCTCACTGAGCTAAAACCAAGGAGCTGACAGTGTTGTGCTCCTTTCTGGAGGCCCTGGGAGAGACTGTTTTCTTGCCCCTTTCCAGCTTCTAGAGGCGACCCTCATTCTTTGATCTGTGGCCTTTTCCTCCATCTTCAAAGCCAGCAGTGGACTATACAGTCTTATTCACATCCCATTACTCTGAATCCAACCCTGCTGAACCTTTGTGCTAACACTGGTCCAGAATCATCCAGCATAACCTCCCTGCTTTACGGTCAGGTGATTGGTAGCTTACTTCCACCTTCAACCTTAATTTCCCTTTGCCATGTCACATGATGTATTCACATGTTCTGGTGATTAGGATGTGGACGTCTTTTCGGAAGGGAGAGAGATTAATCTGCCTATATACTATATAGACATATGGTAATTTCTTTATCAGACTGAAAAGAGATAGGTTAACAGTGATGAACATTTTCCCAATACAAAACTTTTTATTTAACTCAAGGGAAAATGATCTTTTGTATAAAAATGGACGCTTCTGAGTAAATGCATGATTAGCAAAGAATAGTCACATGTTCAGTTACAGGACAGGAGGAACAGTCTTCTTCCCTTAGGAACAGGAGTGTGAGAAGAACAAAATGATACAAAAGTAAAAGTGTATTTATGTGAGGGGTGTGTGTGTGTGTGTGTGTGTGTGTGTGCACGCGCTTAGGCAGCCATGCACTGGAGGGGACTCAATCTGGCATGTGAGAGCCTTTGTGTGTCTATATTTTCCTAAGTTCATGTTCAGTGACATCACTGAATGGCTTGAAATTAGCCATGGTGGGAGTATTTACACCATAGAAAGTGGCAAATGCTGTAAGCCAGGGTTTTCTTTTTCCCTGGAGAGCCTGTTATTAAACATTAATGGGCACACCATTGGAGTAGAGACTCCCTGCCTCCAGTTCATCGCACAACACCGCTGTGTGGCCTTATTGCTCCTGTGGGACCCCGGACTCTACAGCTGGAGAAGGGGCAAATCCCAGGCCACAGCAAGGCCAGCGGGCCCTTGCCACAAACACAGAGGCTGCAGTGTCCTTCTGCTGTCTCGACCTCCCTAGTTGCCATAGCAGCGTGGACTGGACAGGGAGCTACACTGTCTCTCATGTGGGCAAGAGCTTGCTTCTTCGTCACTCCCCACTGTCTGACCTTCTGTCTGTCTAGCATTTTTCCTGACCAGTCTGTGTACCTGTCGTCGCTCTGCCTGCTTGGATGGAGCCCGAGCTCTTTCTTGGAGTTGCATTCACTTGCTTTTCTTGTGCTTGTCTTGTTTCTCCGGGAGCTATGAGATCAGTGCTGCCCAAACTTTAGGGGAATTAGGAGAGTTACAAGGGGACCTTGCTAAAATGCAGTTTCCAAGGCTCTGCCCCCAGAGATTCTGATTGGGAAGGTCTGGGGAAAGCCCCAAGGATCTGCATTATTGATAAGCACTATAATTATTAGCATGACTGACATTATTATTGACGTAATTCTAATTATTGGCATCACTGACAAGATTCCGAGGCCAGAAGTTCATGGGCACATTGACTGGCCCAGCCTGGAAGCTCCCTGAAAGCCTGGCAGGCCAGCTTCCTTCAGCTGCATTTGGTCCTTACACTGAGGGTCTCAGTGGGGAAAAAGCAGTCCTTTAAAAAATACATGGATCCTGGTTTTTAGCAGGTTTTTTCTCATCTGTCAGACAAAGTTAACGCCTATTCAACACACAGGTGGGTGCAGAATACCATGTTCTCAGGTTCCCAGGGAAGAGGACAATTTTCCCGAAGAACTTGATCATGTAGAAATGTGAAAAATTCACACAGCTGTCAAGACAGTGGGTCCTCCTGAGTCCACGTATTTTGAATATTTGAAACCATCTGAATGACTTATTGAAGCTTTTACTTTCCGTGGACATGCTTACTGGGTATTGTAAGATGTAAACCTCACAGCCAGAGACAATGTCTGCTGAGAGGAAGTTCAAGCTTCACCAAATCCAACCCAGCTTGTTTTTCAGCAGCAAACCAACCACTCTGACTGCGGCAATTTTCTTAGCAGGAAAAATTTTAGATGTGTGGTTTCTAGCTTTACTCTTTTTCATTTTACATGTGAAATATTCGGGATCAGATTGGTTTTCTTTAAAACTATGGTCTGAATTAATAAGAAGGAGATAAATTGCTACCTTTAGGAGGTTTTGACCTCAAGTCCTCTGATATTTGAGACAAAGTTTTTTATCCCCTGGGATGCAGCCCTTCAGTAGCATGTAGGCGGGTTTCGAGCAAAGCAAGGAGTAATGAAAACTCTAATATAAAGGCTGTAATTTTCTAAAGAAGTCTGTTCCTTATTAAGATCAAGTGCATGTCAGTCATTTTATATTTTGGGAACATCCACCAAATGCTGGAACTGTACTGGGTGCTTTCTCATGTGTGGAAAATTTTATCCAGCGTAATCAATTTTTCTAGTTCAGTAAACATATTAAAAAGAAGGCAAATGAGATATTTCTATATCTAATCAGCATGAATAATATATTTGAGTTCTCCCCTGACCACATAAGATTTGGGCTTGAATCCTACCCTGCCTGCATGGGTCTCTTCTTCATATAAAGAGAGGGAAGAATATTTGTGTAAAGGACCATATAAGGAGGTTATGAGAATCAAATGCAATGATGTATGGGAAAGAGTTTTATCAAAGAGTAAGCAAAAGTAATATAGTTTATAATCCTTAATTTACATGGTTTGTAAATATTAAATTCTATATGCAAGTATAGCATTCCACCCATATAATTCTAACGTATTTCCTCTACTCCAATTCCCTCTAGTAGTATAACAGAATTACTGTATTATCATTTTGAGATGAAGTTATTGTATAATATTTTAAGATGAATTATGGCATTGTCATTATGCAATGAAAACTATAGAAATGTTTCATCTTCCTTTTAAAAAAATTAACTTTATTTCTTTTTAATAGTAACTGGCTCTTGTCTGGAAGTGTCTCAGCATGTGGGTTTTCACATACTGGTTGGTCAGAGACTTGAAGGTACAGTCAGCTCTTCCCTGCTAGCAGGGTGGACAGTTAGTTGAACTCATTCTTGAGCCTCCAGAGAACTGGGTCTCATGACACACTCTCTCTTTTTCTCCTTTTTCCTGCCCTCTTGGAAGTATATTGAGAGGTTTTTGAGGAGGACTCACTCGTGTACGCGGTCTGCAATGCCTGTCTCGTTCTTCCTTCCCTTTCCAAATTCTGCATCTGGCATGAAAACAGAGGCAATTCTAAATGTAAATATGACTTCTTGATTACTTAAAAATATTCCTCTCTAGCTCATATACATAGCAATTTTGTGTAAATATATGTTAAACATCAAGGTCCACTGAAAGAAGAAAGAAATCACATAATTATAATACAATCTAGAATACAAGCACTTCAGGATTTATTAGATTTATCAAAGACACTGGCATGATTTCTTTTGTTGTGTATTTTTCCTGTTTACAGAAATAACATGTTAATTTCAGAAAAATATGATAAATCTGGAAAAACACAAAGCAGCAGCAAATTGCACATTCTGCTAAAATTCACAGATAATTCTTACCGATATTTTTAGAATAGCTTCTTAGTCCTATTTTCTTTGTAGGTATAAACACACACACTCCTTTTTCACATATTTGATTGTACTGTAATTATGTTTTGTTTGTTTCCTTAAACAACAAACGTTTATTTCTCGCAGTTCTGGAGGCTGGGAGGTTCCAGATCAAGGTACAGGCAGATTTATTTCCTGGTGAGGGCCTCTTCCTGGCTTGCAGACTTCTTACTGTGTCCTGTCTTGATGGAGAGAGTGAGCTCTGGTGTCTCTCCCTCTTCTAAGGGCACCAGTCCCAGCATGGGACCCTGCCTTCATGACCTCATCTAAAAGTAACTGCTTTCCAAAGGCTCCACCTTCAAATAGCATTACATTGGAGCTTAGGGCTTCAACATGGATTTCAAGAGATATCAACAATTAGTCCATAGCATTTTGCTCCACGTCCCCCCAAAGTCATGTCCTTCTTCCATGCAAAATACATTTATTCCATCCCAACAGCCTCAAAAGTCTTGACTTATTCCAGCAACAACTTTAAGGTCTAAAGTCCAAAGTCTCATCTAAATATCATCTAAATCAGATATGGTGATTACATTTTGTAGCTTGAATTTTGGATAGTCTATATTCAACATTCTCCATATCATCAGGTGTTCTTCTGTAGTATGGTCCTGGGAACAGAGTACATGCTGAGTAAATATTTACCGAATTAATACATAAAAGATTTTAATGGATTTATGATGTTCCATCATATGAAAATACCTCAATTGATTTTATTATTCCCTTTCTTGTCCATTTTAAAGTAGAGATATCATGGGGAAAAGTGAGAAGCTATGTGTATAATTATGGTCCCATTGAGGAGGAGGAGACACTATCTAGAATGAAGGCAGAAAGCTCTGTGAAGCTCCCTGTGAGGGAAGGACTGTGAACTTTCAATCATGACCATGAGCCTGATGCCTGAACTCTCTTTCAGATCATGAGGTAGCTGCTTATTAAATTTGGAATAATGTGGAGAGAGGGTCCTAAAATGAGTTCAGAAACAGTCATATAACCCGAGTCAGCTAGAGAGAGGTCATTCAGTGGCAAGAAACAGAAGCCCAACTCTAGGTGGGTTAAACCATAAAGATGTGCACCCAATCACCTGCGTGAAAACCCAATCACCTGCATGAAAACCCAATCACCTGCATGAAAACCCGATCACCTGAATGAAAACCCAATCAATCACCTGCATGAAAACCCGATCACCTGCATGAAAACCCAATCAATCACCTGCATGAAAACCCAATCACCTGCATGAAAACCCAATCAATCACCTGCATGAAAACCCAATCAATCACCTGCATGAAAACCCAATCAATCACCTGCATGAAAACCCGATCACCTGCATGAAAACCCGATCAATCACCTGCATGAAAACGCAATCACCTGCATGAAAACCCGATCACCTGCATGAAAACCCGATCAATCACCTGCACGAAAACCCAGAGGCTGGGGAGACTTCGTAGGTTCTGCTACGCCTTCTGCCTACTCTCCCGTGATTGCCACAGCTCTCTACTCCCCTATAGATGACTTCTTCTCAGGCTTATTCCCCTGGAGGTCTTTGGAGGCCTTTTTTGGTCATCAGAACTGCACGCTTTTTTTTTTTTTTTTTTTTTTTTTTTTTTGATATTTGAGACAGAGTCTTGATCTGTTACCCAGGCTAGAGTGCAGTGGCGTGACCTCGGCTCACTGCAACCTCTGCCTTCTGGGTTCTCTTACCTCAGCCTCCCAAGTAGCTGGGATTACAGGCATGTGCCACTATGCCTAGGTAATTTTTGGTAGAGATGGGATTTCACCATGTTGGCCAGGCTAGTCTCAAATCCCAACCTCAAGTGATCTTACCCTCTGGGTCTCCCGAAGTGCTGGGATTACAGGTGTGAGCCACTGCGCCCGGTCAAAACTACATTCTTTCTTATTCGCAAAGAAGTAAGAAAGAGAGTAAGAGAGCATATCCTGGCAGGTCACATTAAAGAAGGAAATAATTTACCCTGAAGACTCCAGCAAATCTCTTCTATGTTTCATTGGCCTCAGTGGGCCTAGACAGCCCCCTTCCTCAGCCAAGTGCTGACAAGGGGAAAGGGAACAGGATTACAGGATTAACTCACATGAACCAGCCAGGGTGAAATAACTGTTGTTCATATGTTGGTATGTGTAATATATTTCCGTGAAATGAACAGTAAGAAAATCCCAACAGTAGTATTGATGTAGCTCAGGTCTCCGTGTCTTGGCTGATCTAGGCTGGGTGCACCTCATAGGGCTTGGCTGGGCTGCCTGTGCTCCCTGTAACTCTCCTTCTCTGCTCCATATGCTTCTCCTTGTGGGACCAAAGGCATGTTCTTTTCATGGTAAGAGTGGAAGAGAAGTAGGGCAAGTGGAAGTGACACAATCATCCCTTCTGTCTCATTTCATTGGCCAACACCAGTCACATGACTAAAGTCAAAAGGAGGAGACATATATTCTGTCTGGTGTGTGGAGGAACCCCAAAATCACATGGCAAAGGGTGTGAGCAGTACTAAGACTAGAGTGAGCTGACCAAATACTTGTCTTCAGTGAAAAGTTTAAAGGGCGTCAAGATACTCAATCAAGAGAATTAATATGAAATGCTTTTAAAAACCAAAGTTAATGCAAAAACATTTGCGATGAGAAAAATACCAAAGTTTTAAATAAAAACAGGATGGGTATAGGGATGGGTGAGTATTAATGCTAATAACTCAACATACCATAGTCCGCCAACCACAATGTCCCTTTTCAAGGACTCCCATGCTCAGCCTTAGAAGATGTGCACAGAACTCCGCCATCTTCAGGTTCACTGCTGGTTTCTTTCCAGGTCTGCAGCTCAAGTATCTGCTTATCCTGGAAGTCTCTAAGAAATTGAATGGAAATAATCTCAAGAAACTATCCTTAAGGATAAATTATTCCTTGAGACACTTTTTTGGTTCAAAAAAGAAAACAAGACAAGAAAATCATATTCCATTCAATGGTTCTTGTACATTAATTCATTCTTTGCTTGCTAGTTTAAGAATTAGTGCAATTCCCATAAAAATTAGAATGAGTAAGGTAGTACAATGATTTTCTAGAGACTGAGTTTCATAACACTTTTAGATTTTAAATATGGTACATGTTTTA